CGCCGAACGGCGGAGTCTCTTTCAGGGATGCAAACCGACCCTGAACCCGTTTATACGGGTTCAAAGGGCATATTTTTGGCCGAGCCCACGAGCTCGGAGATTCTTCGTTAAACCGGCCTTGTGCCACATGATGCCCTCGTGGGGGGGGGGTGACTAAATACTGTTCACTCTGGAGTGAAGTCCGTCAGGAGTCTGTCAGTCAGTCAGAGTGAGTCAGTCGAGTCGGTTTTTATTGCCAAAGACTTAAGTTGTTAAATCTGAAAGAAAAAGAAAAAAAAATCATTAGACGTTTAAACTTAATTCACATTTAAAATCGGTCCAAGTTATCGGAACATCCTATAAACAGTCCAAGAGCCACTCAATGTAGTGGTTTACTAAATTAAGTTATTCTTGGACGTAAGTGGAGGAGGTAAGAAGTGCAGTTTATGGCGATATATGGGATAGAAAATGGTTAACTCTTGACTAGAAGTGGTCATTGAATCGCTTTCTCCGGCATGTCAAAATATTGAAGGTTATTTAAAGCCTGAAAATAGTTTTAGATTTTAATTATATATAGTGATAATTATTTATTGATACAAGTCTTGATAATTAATACACAGCTTTATATTTCACAAGAGGTCTCAAGTTTTTCCTTTTCTTTCTATGTGCCGTGTCCTTTCAGGACGTAGGCGATCATGGCTCTCCACCTCCTTCTATCACTTGCAGTTCCTTATTGATGAAAATTTATTTATTTATATATTGTATCCTTTTATTTAAGTCATGGCAATTAAGTGTGAAAAATAATATCGCCCAAATGTCTGCCAAGGCATCGGCGGCACACCTCCACTCGATGGTCAAAATTTTTGATGATGTCTCTGCATAGGTGCTCTTCGATCTCACCAATATGCCTTTTTTAGCTCATCCTTCAGCTGTTCAATTGTTGTTGGCTAATTGGCATAGGCCTTACTTTTGAAATGACCCCAAAGGAAGAAATCTAAAGGCGTCAAGTCGAACGAAATGGTGGCCAATTGACTTCGCTGTTTCGAGAAATGATACTACCTGGGAAGCGCGCGAAATGCATTTCTGTTGAGCGGCCATTTTCGTAATAGGAGTCGATAACTTTAACACGTTGTTTGATTGTGTATCTTTTCATGTTTGAAATTGCCAAATACTTAAGTTGTTAAATCTCAAAGAAAAAGAAAAGATACATTAGACGCTACATTACAGGGGCTTGATAAATATTTTATTTATTTTTGGACTATAAGACGCACTCTGGTTTAAAGCCGAGCCCGAACTTTGAAGACATTTTCAAAGAAAAAAAAAACCTATAGACTTATTTGAAAGATTTTTATTAAACAAAAAGTTTCAAAAACAGAAGAAAATCTTAATTCACATTTAAAATCGGTTCAAGTTATTGGAACACTGTATATTAGGTGACCAGTAGTGTAAATAATAATCAACTTAGGAGACTTTTTTTTCACCAAGAACAGGATATTCTTGATTTGTTGATAAAGGAACGTGCGGGTTCATTATTTCAACCGCTTATCGATCGGAATAAGTAAAACCGGTGTCACTAAGGGCACTTATTGATTCGGAAATTTAAATTAAGGATAACCTCATCATTAAGCAGTCGTTATTTTTGTATTTCATCTACGTCTGAATAAAATGATAATCAAAATACATTGAATTACGTTTTATTTTGTTCGCATAAACTTCCTTAATATGTCACTGGCTTCAGGAGAACCGTATACAATAGTTTATAATTAACACAAAATGTCAGTTATTACCTAATAGACACCCGGTGAGGAATGTAGTCACTTTGTTAATGATAAGTCTGCAACAGGGGCTTGATAAATATTTTGGTATATTGTTACCGTATTTATTTTTGGACTATAAGACGCACTCTGGTTTAAAGTCGAGCCCGAACTTTGAAGACATTTTCAAAGAAAAAATAACCTATAGACTTATTTGAAAGATTTTTATTAAACAAAAAGTTTCAAAAACAGAAGAAAATCTTATTATTCTTCAACGTGTTCCTTCTTTCCTTAATTATCACGGCCGTTACGCCTTGCCAATACCTCATAAATAATGCAGAAAACAGCATGCAAGCATATAGGGAACGAGTTCAGTGAAAATAGAAAGGAGCGTAAGGCGTCTTCTCACCTGACCTGTTCAAACTCTACAGCAAGGAAATTCTGAGAAAATTGGAAACCTTACTGGGATTTAGCACTGGCGGTCACAATCTTAACAACATAAGATACGCAGATAACACAGTACTGATAGCAGACACGGAAAAGAAATTACAAAACCTCCTACAGAAGGAAGCGGAGGAGAGTGAGAAAAAGGGACTAAGTATAAACTGAAAAAAACAGAATACATGATCATCAGTAAAAGGATGATCCCGAAGTTCGATTTGCAGGTCGGGAACACTAGAATCAAGCAGACGCGGAAGTTTAAATATCTGGGAAGCGTTCTGACAGAAGACGGTAAGTGCGATGCTGAGATCCGTAGACGTATTGGGATGGCCAAGAACACATTCCAAAAGCTGGGCAGAGTATTTCCAGACTGGAGGTTTTCTTTGGTAACAAAGAAAGGAATACTGAGCTGTTATGTGACATCTGTTCTTCTTTAAGACAGCGAATTTTGGACGATTTCCTCAAAGATGAAGAAGAGACTCGAGGCGACGAAGATGTGGTTCTACAGAAGGATGCTCAGGATATCATGGCCCGAGCGTGTGAGCAACGATGAGGTCTTAGAGTGGTTGCAAACAAGGAGAAGGCTTATACTTAACATCAGGAAGAGGCAGCTAGAGTTTATAGGACACATAATGAGGCCTGGAGAATCTGATACTCACGGGGCGAATAGAGGGAAAGAGAGACAAGGGAAAACAACGCATGACATAGCTAGAGGGCTTAAGCAAATGGATGGCAGAACGTGGTCTGGGGAAGGAAGCAGAGGGAAGGAACTTGTTGAGAGCTGCAAGGGACAGAAAGAGGTGGAGAGCCATGATCGCCTACGTCCTGAAAGGACACGGCACATAGAAAGAAAAGAAAGAACTTGAGAAGATAACTGAGGTTTGGTTGGAGATTTCTGTATTCTCTTTATTAATATATTGGATGTGGTTCTACAGAAGGATGCTAAGGATATCATGGACCGAGCGTGTGAGCAAAGATGAGGTCTTAGAGAGGCTGCAAGCAATGAGGACGCTTATACTTAACATCGGGAAGAGGCAGCTGAAGTTTCTTGGACACATAATGAGAAAGGAAGGCCTGGAGAATCTGATACTCACGGGTCGAATAGAAGGAAAGAGAGGCAAGGGAAAGCAACGCATGACATATATAGCAAAGGGACTAAACTTATTGAGAGCTACAAGGGATAGGGTGAATTAGAGAGCTATGATCGTTTACGTCCTGAAAGGACACGGCACAGAAAAAGAAAGAAATGCAAATAAACGCTAAACTTTTACTAAAATACTCTATCAGGAGATAGTTCTGTCTATATTTCTGAGATGAAGTATTATGTACATTATTTACATTATTCGGACTATTGTCCTCATCTTTGTCGTCATATTTATTACAACGTTTCGGCCCTTCTGTATCTATCTATATTTCTGAGATGAGGTATTATGTACATTATTTACATTATTCGGACGATATTCCTCACCTTTGTCGTCATATTTATTACAACGTTTCGCCCATTGTAGGCTTCGGCCTTCTCCAGTTTGTTGGAATGTCGAACTGAACCTTTTATTTCGCTCACTGGGGTAGACTGTTCTAGTTCCACCTGCCATGTTTAATAGATGTCAGTTATCTCCAATTAATTCCCTTGAGAACACATGTTACAGTGGATAAAGGCGTTGGTTAGATCCAGTGACAGGACCCAAAGAGTGTGAGTTCAATACCCGGTTAAGGCAGTGGAAAACTTTCAGAGGGAAAATTAACAGGAGATAACTGATAAGTGACATCCATTAAACATGGCACGTGGAACTAGAACAGTCTATCCCAATGAGCGAAATAAAGGTTTCAGTTCGACATTCCAACCACCTGAAGAAGGCAGGAGCGTACAACGGCCGAAACGTTGTAATAAATATGGCGGCAAAGATTAGGACAATAGTCCGAATAATGTAAATAGTGTACAAGAGATAGTTACATATCAGGTTCCATTGTGCATTTGAGTCCGAAGAAAATTCGCTCCATTGTTGTAAACTGAAACACAATAAATTCGACTGAATCCAACGCCACACTCCGAAATAAAAAAAAAAAGACTCAATCAATTAATCACAAATTGTTATATATCCGAGAAATTTACGCGTGGATATATAGTCTAATAAGGAGTCAGTATCCCACGAGATGTGGAACGGCCTATTGGGTAGGGTTTCAACCACTGAAAATAAATGTTTATTACTATTTCGATAGACATGTTGCCGGCGTTTTATTGACAAATGTTTCTGATGCGCATAATGTGTTTAAAATACAAACGATATGCGCATAGCGGAAATGAGCCTGAAAATCGTTTATCGATTAGGATGGAGTCGTTATCTCGGCACGAGCATTTTGGATTTTCCAATACATTTGTTCGCTGGGTGATTATCAGATAACAGCACCCCAAGTATGCTTTGTCTACGAGGTATGCCTGATTCTGCAGACGCCTCGCCAGGCACATATATATTTTACTTCGACAGAGCCAGCCTCTGTTTTTTTTTTTTTATACCGGAACTATGCTATGTAGACCATAGATACAGTTTAGGCGAGAGATGCATGACCTAGCGTGAGCACCGGTTTGAGCGAGAGGGCAATACGCTGAAATGACCGATCACGATGAGTGGCGACCTCGTGCATGGCACAACCATAGATTGCTTTCGAAGAATTTCGTCTACGACTCTCCGTTCTACCAGGGGAGGGGGTTATGGCTTTCAGCCTCTTCCAAAACAAAGATGATTTTTGGGAGTAAACGAAATTTTACAATCAAATCTCCTGAAGATTGTACATAACAAAAAAAAAATAAAAATATGAGCATTTCCAATGTTTATTTATTACTTACTTACTTACTATCTATCTATCTATCTATCTATCTATCTATCTATCTATCTATCTATCTATCTATCTATCTATCTATCTCAGTCTGTTCATTATCTATCTATTTATCTATCTATCTATCTATCTATCTATCTATCTATCTATCTACCTATCTATCTCAGTCTGTTCATTATCTATCTATCTATCTATCTATCTATCTATCTATCTATCTATCTATCTATCTCTAACTTTCTTAGTCTGTACCTATCTAGTGTACATAATAAAATAAGTGAACATTTTAATCCTTATTTATTAATATCTATCTATCTATCTATCTATCTATCTATCTATCTCAGTCTGAACTTCTTCCGACCTACCAACCTAATAATGCTAAAAACCATATCTCATCGAAGAAACTTGTATAAATTGAAACTATATGCCAAGCTTCTGGCGAAGAACTGTTCGTTTCTTTGGAATACAGGAGGAATCAGTATTTCCGGTCGGGAAGGGGTAAGAATAAAAATTATCGCTATAACTCGAGGCTGTGGAGAACGCTTACAATTCCGTGTCTACTAAAAGCAGCGCTTGTTTAAGAATGTTCCTTTATTTATCTGGAGGAAATGACAGTCACGTCTAACTAAATTACGGGATGACAAGCAGAAGTATATTATGATATCCATATCTCATTGAAGAAACGTGATAAATTGAGATTATAATTGCGCCCTGGATTTTGGACATATTGATTGAGTGGTTTTCTACGGATCTTCAACAGGTTATTTAAAGCCAGAAAAGACCGTTAGATTGTAAGCATTTTTTTTTTTTGGTGTAGACAATAATGATTTTGTGATGCAAGTCGAATTAATTAACCCATAGCTGGGGGTAGAAGATGTGGGTTCATAATAATATCATCAGGCGATAGATGCATGACCTAGCGTGAGCACCGGTTACAGCGAGGGCAATACAGTGTAACCCGGATATAAGAGAGTTGTCTGGACTGGAGAAGAAGTCTCTTATATCCGGGTTTCTCTTATATCAGGGTTTCTCTTATATCCGGGTTTGGTCTATTTTGTTTTGGTAAGTAGGAAAACACTTTGGGAGCAGAGAAAATCGCTCTTATATCCAGGTTTCTCTTATATCCGGGTCTCTTATATCCGGGTTACACTATACCCTCAAATGGCCGGTCACGGTGAGTGGCGACCTCTTGCCTAACACAACCATAGACTCAAGTGTACTTGCGCGCAAGTGACTATAGGTTACTCAACTGAAATTGGAACTTGCCTCGAGCTGTGACTGATATTACTAAGTGGTCATCCATCTAGTTACTGAGCTGACTCAACTTTGCTTAACTTCGGTGATCATCCCACCTCACCTAAGCTGAGATTATTATATATTAATTTGAACTTCCTGTCAACTTTTAAAAAAAAATCCTTTTATTAAATTATATCCAATAGTTGCACTTAAATATATATTTTCTCTTTACTCAAAACGGACATAAAATAAAGTTGTCTGACATTTTTAATATTTAATGTTGTGATTCGACACTTACCCGGTTTTGTTCTTATTAAAATTTATATTTTTAATAAGTTGTCCGACTCACAAACCCATTTCTTTCCTTTGTCTATTTATTCATTTTTTTTTTTTTTAAATTTTCTTCTATCTTTTTTTTTTCGTTTTGGTTCATTCAATTGATTCCGTTTTGAGCCAACGCCAACAAGTCAAACAGAAACCCAAGGTCATTCTTAACACGTCTTTCAAGAACTGTCAATATCTTTAATGCGCATGCGTTGATTCCTTCGCCCGGACTCTTTCTGAATCAAAAAGAAGACAAGATGTCCAGAAAAAAAAATATTAGAATGTTGGTTCTCGAGGAATTCTTGTTCGAGCAATTTAGACATTGTCTGCAGTTAGATGGTGGTGGCGGGGCACTTACACAGCGTAGTGACTTCCAAAGCATTTAGCTTCATGGGTATATAAGTAGCAGCATACATACGCACAAGGCAGACCCCAAATACCTGACGCAATGCTAGAGACAAAACTCTCGTTTTAGAGAACAGTTTCATAATGTAGATGATTCCGTCATGAAAGCAGAACTACCGTACGAGTTCGAATTCCGGTTGTGCTCATTACATTCATTTATAAATATCATAAAATATATATATATATATATATATATATATATATATATAAACAAATGTTTAGAGGTACAAAATTTATATATAGTTTTAAAAACAAGGAATATATTGATTTTAATTTTATTAGTCCCTAAGGCCCTTTCAACCAACATCTCATCAGAAGACAATCGTTGGATAATTAATTAACGAAAAGAACAGTAACGAAAATAAAGAGCAAAAAAAGTTTTTCATATTGGTCTGCAGTTTGAGATTCCTCTACAGATGTGCTGGTCAAACTATCTGTCCCCCGGGCAGAGAGGATCCCCAGACGAGGTTATGTCGAAGGGCAGTGTCTCGTCTCGTCTCGTGAAACAACAACCCGACCCCGTATAAAACGGTCTACGGGGAATTTTTGGCTTAGCCTACGGTCTCGGATACCCCATATTAAATTCGGCCTTGTGCCACATCTGACCGCGTAGGGAGGTTGGTAGATATCCTGCAGTTTGAGATTCATTGTGGAATTCACTTGACTCACTTCTAGCAGTTGACTACTACTTCTACGCGCGGCTGGCGAATCTTATATGTGTTGTTCTTGTCCGAAGTATTATCGTTCATTACCCATCTTCGTTTGATTATTCCGTTAAGTAACGTTCCCTCGGTGACATTTTGGCGACAAGGACGGGATAAAATTACAACACTCTTACAGAGTGAAACGTTAACAACGGAATTAAAAAGGTTTTACTTTCATTTATTCATACGTCATATAGAATAAAACCCGTAAAAATTCGAAAATGTTTGAGTTCATTCCACCGGTCGAACACAGCACGTATTTTTTTTTAGGCCATGAATGAGAAGAAAGTTTGTTGAAACAATTTGCTGAATGTCATTCAACTCACCTCCAATCACAATTAGAGAAAATGGAGTGCTTTCTATCTCTGTTCGTTTTCTTTTTTTTTTTTCTCTCAAGCGCATCCATCCCTATTATGTCTGCAACCGACTCAATTTGTCCTCCATTTTTAAATTGTACACCTTCCGCCTCTTTAAGTCAACCTTCCGGCGAAGAACAGCTAATTTCTTTGGAATACCGGCGGAATCCGGATGTAATCAGCTACTGTATTTCCGGTTGGGAACGGGAAGAAATAAAAAGACGTCGCTATAACTTGAGGCTGTGGAGAACGCTTACAATTACGTGTCCACTAAAAGCAGCGATTGGGTTTGTCCAGATGTGCGAGAATGCAAAGTCCGGATCAATAGATGAGTTGCTGATTGAACATCTTCGCATCTTCGTAAATCAATAGAGATCCTCTATTTTTTTTTAAAATCATTTAACCGGCAATAAAGCCACTAAGACGGACGGTGTTACTGAATATGAGAAGATGGGGAGAAAAGAAAACCATTATTAATGCGAGACAGAGATAGCAATAACAAGATAGGAATTAAGAAAACAGAATATAACGACTGACATTGCATTTAGACATTTGTATGTCCACTATTTACATAATTCGGACTATTGTTCTTATCTTTGTCGCCATTTTTATTACAACGTTTTGGCCGTTGTACGCTCCGGCCTTCTTCAGGTGGTTGGAATGTCGAACTGAACCCTTTATTTCGCTCACTGGGGTAGATTGTTCTAGTTACATGTGCAATGTTTAATAGATGTCAGTTATCAGTTATCTCCTGTTAATTCCCCTCTCCAAGTTCTCCACCGCCTTAACCGGGTATTGAACTCACACTCTTTGAGTCCTGTTACTGGATCTAACCAACGCCTTTATCCACTGTGCCACGTGTCCCGGATGACACATGGCACAGTGGATAAAATGATGGATAATAATAATAATAATAATAATAATAATAATAATAATAATAATAATAATGTAAATGTACATAATACCTCATCTCAAATATCGACAGATACATTTGTATGTCATATTTTACTGGAAAGTCTGAAGAGAGTTCCACATGCAAGAAGTGCGTGAGAAGAAACTGTTAGCGTAGAACTTGCGGTTATATCTAGCTATTTCCACTGTAAAATGATGTGACCTTGCTGCCAATCTAGTATCACGCTTAAATTCATAAAGTCCAGAGGAAAGCTCACCAGAACAATTACCATGAAAATATTTATAGAAAAGGCACCAGGAATCTACGTTATAGCTATGGGAAAGTGTATGTTACCGAGATGCCAGATCAGGACCAATAACATTGCATTATTAATCGCTATTTATTTATTAGCTTGCTTATTCACAAGAATAATTCTTTTCTATGAATACACAGCAGAAACTCCAGACAAGAAATAGTCAATATATGGACGAAGGTTAATATCGCTAAGCAGAGTAACTTCTGTGAGAAACTAAGAAAGGACTATTGTACTGTTATGTGATTTCTGTCCTCCTGTATGGCAGCGGATGCTAGACAATCTCCTCAAAGAACTCTACTGGAACTCGACTGGAACTCGACTGGAACTCTACTGGAACTCGACTGGAACTCGACTGGAACTCTACTGGTACTCGACTGAAACTCTACTGGAACTCGACTGGAACACTACTGGAATTCGACTGGAACTCTACTGAAACTCGACTGGAAAAAGACTGGAACTCTACAGGAACTCGACTGGAACTCTACTGGTACTCGACTGAAACTCTACTGGAACTCGACTGGAACACTACTGGAATTCGACTGGAACTCTACTGGAAAACTACTGGAGACTTGAAGCAATAGAAATGTGGTTCTACAGAAAAATGCGGTAGATACCATAGACTGAACATGTGAGCAACAACGAGGTTTTTCGAGAATTCCAGTCGAGTTCATTCCCAATCATTATAAATATCATAAATATAGCATACCATATATATATATATATATATATATATATATATATATATATATATATATATATTCTTTTTATACGTTATTTTTATTGTTGTTTTTCTGGTTAGGACCTGAAATGAAATCACAAAGAGGAGTTGAGTTAAACAAATATCAGGTCATCCCATAAGTTCAATCGGAATTTTGAATAAAGAAAACAAGTGATCAAATGTTACATTTAATTACAGATTCAATCAACAATGTATTTTCCCTGATTATCTATGACTTCCTTCCATCTATTAATAAGCTTACTAATTTCATTACTGTAAAATTCTTTTGGCTTTGATTCGAAGAACTCACAAATGTCATCCCATAAGTTCTGTCCGAATTTTGAATAAAGAAAACAAGTGATCAAATGTTACATTTAATTACAGATTCAATCAACAAAATATTTTCAGTGATTATCTATGACTTCCTTCCATCTATTAACGAGCTTACATTACTGTAAAATTCTTTGGGCTTTGATTCGAAGAACTCACAAATGTCAGTTTTAACCTTTTCCTGTGTTACAAAAGCTGTCTCTTCCAAATGATTCTGTAAGCTACGAAACAAATGGTAGTCTGAAGGAGCAAGATCCGGAGAATAAGGTGGATGAGGAATTTTCTCCCAACCAAGTTCTTCGATCTTTTGTGACGTGATTCTTGCTGTGTGGGGTCCTGGTGAAACATCACCTCTTTTCGATTCACTAGAGCGGGTCTTTTTTTCCTCAAAGCTTGGTTCAAACGCTCTAATTGCTGCTAATGTGAGCAACAGCGGGCTTTTGGAGAGAATGTAAACATAAAGAAAACTCATACAGGAAGAGGCAGTTGAAATTTCTGGGTCGCGTAATGAGGAATGAGGGCTTGGAAAATCTGACACTCACAATCATAGATTGGGGGAAAGAGGAAAGCAGTGCGTAATTTACTTTGATGGGTATGAGCTAATTTTTGGCAGAACAGGGTCTGAGAGAAAAAACAAAAAGAAAAAAACACTTAGTAAAAGCTACAAGGGGCTGAAAGATCAGAGGGACATGATCGAACACGCCCTAAAAGGACCCAACACATCAAAGAAGATACTTATCCTGGATAAACGATATCAAAGTGTAGATAGAAAAAAAATAATTGTAATTACTGTATTTTCCGGCTTACAAGACGCACCTTTTTCCTAAAAATACCCTGAAAATTACGTGTGCGTCTTCCAAAACGAATGTAAGGCAACGCTCAGTCTCAAGGAAGCTTGGACGGTCACCTAACTGGCTTTGACTGATAAGGTTGTGGATTTGTATGCTGAGTCATTACACTACTATAATGGTAGCTATCTAATTCAGCCTTTTATATGATGTAACCTCAGTACAAGTATCTCCTGGAGCCAAGCCACGAGGTTAAACATGCTCTGTTTACGAGCAGCGGAGGGAGTCTTTCTGCTCTTGACTAGCATGTCATTGCCATAAAAACAAAATCAGACTAGTGATTAATGTACACAATACGTAGTCCCAGTATGTGAGGGACGTATGATGAATGTGTTATTGCATGAGAATGACTTTTTCTTTCTTAGAAATTTCTTTCCAATATTAAGGTATTACAGTTTTTTGGATATATATATATAAATATATATATATATATATTGTCCAGAGAATTCATCTGGGAATTTAACTATATTGTCGACATGGAAAAAAAAAATAATCCCTTAATATAAAGGTAATTTACATTAACCAGAAAAAAGGCTTAGACACAAGCGTCTATCTTTTTTAATTTTGAATTTTAATGTAACTATAACAACAAAAGCATTTCGATTTCATTTTTGCCTTGAAAAAGTCGGAAGACGAAACGCGTCGGCAAAATGTATGATTTTTTCCAATTGTCATTTGATACCAATCTGTCTTGTCCACAGAATTCATCTGGGAATTTAACTATATATATATATATATATATATATATATATATATATAGTGTGTGTGTGTGTGTGTGTGTGTACTAGTGAGCCAACCAAAACGAGCTGACTCATTTTATAGTTCACCAATAGAAGGGTTAACCAATCAGAAAGCTCAAAATATTCAATCCGACGTGTATAAAGGCTGCCATTTTGGTTTTTCTCCCAAAATATCTTCACTGCCAATCTCTGATATCGAAGACTTAAAGAATTACTTAACAGCTGCTACTTTCTCCGAATCTTCACTGCCAACCTCTGATATTGAACACATTACGGACTTCACTGGATTCCATATTCAGAGACTACGGCAAATATGGTCAACGGGGTCTTGTAAGTCGGAAAATGCGGTCCTTATCAATTTGGTGAAGCGATTATTTTGCCAAAGAAATTTGTATAGCATTGCAAGCATTGAAAAACTTTATTGCAGTCATATTTTTAATAATTATTGTTTTTTTTTTTTAATTGAGTTTACCCCAAGGAAGACTGTAAAGTTACACAAGAGGTTACTGGACGTGAAAGGTTTAGAAACAGGAACATTGCCAGAGAGCGAGAACAGACGAAGAATAATCAGGAAGACAGTAGATTGCGATTGGCATTGCATGTAAATTTGGCTGGAAAGAATGGAGACGGAAGGGAGTTCTACAAGCGAGAGGCGCGACTAAAGAAACTGCTAGCATAGAATTTACGCTTACATCAAGCCATTTCAACTGTAAATTGGTGAGACTTCTTCTCCGGTCAAATAGGGCGCTTAAATTCGAAGAGTATATTTATCATACCTAAGAGTGATATTTATTTGTAATATTTCAAAATGTGGCACAAGGCCAAAAAGGGGAATGGGAAAAAAAAAGACGGTCTTCTGTTTTAACGTTAAACTTAGCCAAAAACACTGATCCCAAAATACAACAAAATTCTTTACACCAAAAACAACGGATCCTTACTTACCATTCTTACTTTATCCACCATAATACCTCAGAATCTCCATGAAACCCTAACTAGTCCCGATATGTACAATTCATTGCTTGTAGGGGTGAGAAAACAATTTAAAATTTAGCCTTTTGTGATTTCAAAGAACACTAGTTGCCACTTTTGTAATGTCGACGAATACTCGCTGTCACTTTCGTAAATGCTCGTTGTAGTAGAGACTTTGTAATCGCAGATACAACTATAGTAACGCCGTTGAACAATACTGGTGTCAGACGCCTTCGAATAACACTCGCACTTATAGTACTTGCTCCATAATACTCGTTCGAATAGTAATCCGTATAGGGATCTGAATAGGGAAATAGTATGGTGAATAGTGTAGAGAATAGCGGTCCGTATAGTAATAGAG